CGCCGTATAAATGGCTGACCCTGCGCTCTGACCCCAAGCTTCTGTGTCTGTGTGTCTCATGGAGAGCAAGCTGGGCAATGTGAAAAGACAAATTCCTAACCCAAGAAATTGTATATGGGCAATTAAATGATCTTATCTTAGTAGGAGGAACTTAGTAAAACCTGAATTGGAAGAGGCAGCTGGAAAATGGTGATCCTCAAGCCAGCCTTGCATTTGCATACTGCTGAGAGACTGGTTACAAAAACGAATGAGGAAGAGTTCATTGCGCTGGGTTTCTCGTTTGTGTCTGCAGTCCGCACCACAGCTACAGCAGCCAGTAACCTTGTTGAGATCTTTGTGGATGGAAAGCCCCTCATGGTTGAACCAGGAACTACAGTGCTTCAGGTGAGTTCGTATTCCGAAATGGTTACCATCTTGAAAATCAGTGTAAACTTTGTGAAACTGCAGGGGTATTGTGGTCCATATTTGTATGGACAGGTCAGTCCACTTTTGGAAATGTGGGTTATGAGATTTACACGTTTTATTTATCCTTTAAATGGTGAAGTACATTTTGGGGGAAAACAAATAGGAAGTATGAATAGTTACCTGTCATTTAATTCGGACCCAACTGATTTTTTTTTTCTCTAGGCCTGTGAGAAAGTCGGAGTTCAGATTCCACGCTTCTGTTATCACGACCGACTCTCAATTGCTGGAAACTGTAGAATGTGTCTGGTGGAGATTGAGAAAGCACCCAAGGTACGGGTCTTCCAAATTACAAGATTTCGAAAGCAAATGATAAGTGCAAAGGATTTTGAATTTTGATACATGGAGAAAATCACATGGAGTTTTGGTGGTTAAATGTCTGTTGAAAGACCTTTTCATGTGGTTTTGTAAAAGTAGCAGCATATCAAAAGGATTAAAACATCTGTGTTCATTCAGCTGTGATCAAGTATGTTGGATGTATGAGCATCAGGTGTTGCAAATACCATTCTTTTCAAAATAGCAAGGTTGCGCATTTTGATTTGAAATTCTCCAAAATGTTTTCACCACGGCTGTTTAGATGGCTGTGATTCAGAAATGTTTTGTGCTAAATTTCTTATTTTAAGTGTTTGAAATGCTTTCTACATCTTTGTTATTAATGGCATAATTACGCAGGTAAGCATTGTGATAGTATCTGGCAATTAATACCACCAGTAACTGTTAAGGGAAATGTTGTCAGCTGGAAGATAATTGGTAAATTTAAGGAAACTGAAGAGCTGACTAATTTAATGCACATTCAGAAACGATCACTTAAACTCTTCGTCTTTGTTTCAGTGGAATCTAGGTGGCAGAAATCTAGTAACATGTCTTTCATGGCAGTGTCAGCACGAGTCGTAAAATGAAACCGTTTCTAACGCTTTCTTGCCTTTTCAGCCCGTGGCAGCTTGTGCAATGCCAGTCATGAAAGGTTGGAATATCCTCACAAACTCTGAGAAAACCAAGAAAGCCAGGTGAGGTGGAGAGCAGGTAGTTCTTTCCTGCCCTGCGTTTGTGTTTTCCTGTCATCCCGTTGCGTGTTTTCAGAGAACAGCTGCTTCTTATGGGTGTTATGCCCTGTGGGGCCCAGTGGCCGCTCGCGGTTGGCGGTTTCCCGGGAGACCGGAACATTTCCATGAGGAATTGGGGTCGGGGTCACCTTTTGGGTGGCTCCTTCCTTTGCCGTTCGGGCACTCAGCCACTCAGTCATCCTTCGGCTCTTTTGTCCTGAGGGCCCCCCCCACCCCTGTGCTGGAGCTCCGTTTAATGATTGCAGATCCCAGAGCCGGTCTGCGATTTGGACATCCGGCGCTTTTCCAGTGTCATCTGCACCAGCCTTCTCTGCGGCTGCATCAGCGTCTACCCCCACTGGCAGTCTGCTTCGGCGGTCTCTCTCCGGTTTGCCTTGATCTGACAGCCAGTTCCCGGAACCGACCTGCTGTGGTCTGTCCAGCTTTGCCGCTGCCGTTCCTTTTATTCTCACAGCTCCTACAGCAACAGCGGTCAACGAGCAGCCGGAAGGCCGGTCTACCTGCCTGGCCCTGCCGCCGTCTCCTCGGTGTGGCCCACTCCGGCAGCCGGTCCTCGCGCTAATAATAAAAAAATAAATAATGTTGCTTTATTAGCCCTATACAATTTCTTGCATTAGGAATTTGTCTTTTCACGTATCCCAGCTTGCTCTCCATGAGACACACAGACAGGGAGAGAGAAGCTCGGGATCAGAGCGCAGGGTCAGCTATTGTACAGCACCCATGGAGCAGCTGGGGTGAAGGGCCTCGGAGTAGGATTCCTCTGCCGGCTGCGGGATTTGAACCGGCAACCTTCCAGTCACAGCCACAGAGCCACTGCTCCGCCCAGAACATACCCCCCGAATGGAGACTTGAACCCTGGACCCTCAGATTAAAAGTCTGATGCTCTACTGACTGAGCTACCCTGCTGCGGTCTTCGCGGCATCACAGGCTCCGAGAGAGCGGCTCGTCCCAGCATCCCCCTGGTCTACAGCTCCGTTACTCGGCACTACGCCAGCATCCATCCGGTCTCCAGAGCCAGTCTCAGCAAGCAGTGGCCACAGGGCAGGCCCTCACACTGGGGACAGTTTTTCAAGAAGCCGATCAACCTACCACCATGTCTTTGGATTGCGGGAGGAAACCGGCGCACCTGTCGGAAACCCATGCAAGCATGGAGAGATCATACAAACTCCACACAGACAGCACCCCAGGTCCAGAATTGATCACGGGGCCCCAGTGCTGCGAGGCAGTAATGCTGACCACTGTGTCACCATGACGGCAATTTTCTAACCTGCTTTGTTTAAACTGAAATGATGTTATGCAGGCAAGCCTGTGGAGAGTTGCAGGAAATTATTGCAATTAAACATGGTAGTATATATTTGTAACAAAGAGCAACGGAGAAGAAGATCACTTTATTAGCTATATACAGTTTCTTGCATTAGGAATTTTTCTTTTTCACATACCCCAGCTTGCTCTCCATGAGACACAGACAGGGAGAGAAGCTTGGGGTCAGAGCGCAGGGTCAGCCATTTATACAGTGGCCCTGGAGCAGTTGGGGTTAAGGGCCTTGCTCAGGGGCCCAACGGAGTAGGATTCCTCTGCCGGTTGCGGGATTTGAACCGGCAACCTTCCAGCCACAGGCGCAGATCCTGTTTTAATTACACTGATTTCATATCGACAGTTAAAATCTGAAGAAATGCGCTATGGAGAGAAAATAATCTTGTTTCATAACTGTATGTGGATTTGGAAGACTTAAATAAAAACATGCAAATATGGCAAATTAGAAAAGGCCGTTGGACCATTGGTTTTAACAACACGGCTGGGTAGCTTGTTCCGGAGATCCACAACTTTTTATGTTCTCGGTTTGAAGTCCACATACCCATGGACTCCACTTGTATCCTCAGTACTGTTCTTTGCTGTGGATTTGGAAGAAATAAGTTGTTGATTTTAGTCATTTAGTAATATTCTGAATGATTTTTTTTTAGGTAACGTATATCATGTACCCTCACAGTCTTTTCTGTTGAAGACTGAAAAAGTTTAATTATTTTATCCTGTCAGTGCAGAGCATTCCTTTAAACCTGGAAATGTATATGATTGCATCTATTCTGGATTTATTCTAGAGCCAACAGTATCTTTATTTGTTAATCTGTTGGCCAATATTGTGCTGTCACTTCAAGTGAGGTATTACTAGTGCTCTGTACAAGTGTAATAAAATTAAATTCTTTAAATTCTGCCCTTTACAACTATATAGCCTAACATCATAACATTCTGTTTGCCTATTGTAATGCTTAGCCGCAGAAAAGGGAATTCTATAAAATGTAGTTGATGTTATTAATTCTTAATAGCTGTTTTACCCTTAGTATTCTTCAACTAAAATTTGTGTTTTTGATGCTTGAGTATAACACCTTGAAGTTTATGTTAAATGTAATCTACCAAGTTTTTGCTTAAGTTCTGTGTCTTTTTGAGTGTTCTTTGCTACTTTGCAGTGTTTGCTTACTCTCCTATTTTGGTATCCTCCATGAACACGTCTAGATAACTTCAGGTACCAGTAGTAAACTCTTCCGTATAAATTAAGAGGAGCAGTGGTCCCTAGTATTGATCCCTTTTAATTTATGTTTTCAGTCTCGTCTGCATTAGCAAATCCTTTGCACAAGGCAACAGTTTCCAAGGTTTTGAAGGAGTCTCGGTTTTTCAGTGGGTTGTGTTGAGGAATAACTTCCAATAACCTTGCTGCCATTCCTGCAGAGTCAACTCAAAGAGTACATGTCAAACTTGATGTGTTGAAGTGTAACACGAATGCCGATTCGTCAGGAGTGCCAAAGAGTTCTCATTGATGGTTGTTGTGGTCTTTCCTCCTCATGCATGTACATGAAATATTGAACAAGGCATGCGAGGTGGCATTACCTGCCAATGTGGGCAGAAGAGCAGTTTGTCCTTTTGTGTTTCAAGCTGCAATATTATTATTTTCTTCTCCTCACAGCTGCGGTTACAATAAGCACCTTGTTTTGCTGTCTCCTCAGAGAGGGAGTTATGGAGTTCCTGTTGGCCAATCATCCCCTTGACTGCCCAATTTGTGATCAGGGTGGAGAATGTGACCTGCAGGTAAAAAAAAAAGGAATACTCTGGATTTTCTGTTCAAACAGTTTAGTCCCATTCTCTCGGTTAACACTATTGCTGAGCTAGATTCAATTCTAGAGTAAACTGTTTTGTTACATCAGTTTTGTTGTTATAATGTAATGTCTGTCAGTTTTTGGGGTTCAGCTGTGATTTCTCCCCTGTTACCAATCACCCACAGCCTCTTTTTAATGTATCGCAGCAAGAGGACTTTCCCAGTCAAATTGTGGTTAAGAATGTCGTTTTCAAGTACCACTGGTTCGTTTCTAACCAAAGTGAAAAGTTAAAATGCAAGGCACTGTGGTCTGTGCTCATTTTTGTGAGCAGTTCCAAAAACAAACAAGAAACATTAATGCGAGTTTGCTTAAAGGACAAAACCTTTCCCTCTACCTAAAGGACATAAGGAAGGTTGGTTTAGGGTTAGAGAGGACACAGTTTGGCACATCTGTCTCATTTGGGTACTAATAGCTACTTGATCTCAAAGTCACTTCTAGCAGTTACTTGTAGGAAGGACAAATGGCACAACTGATATTCTTATTGAAGACAATTGACAGATTTGAAGTTTTTTATTAGAAACCTTTTATTAGCAGCGCCTGGTATTGTACAAATACGTGATAATTACTATTTCACCCACATATTCAGCCCCCTAACTCCAAACTGTTGTATTGTTGTAAGCTGATCTTTTTTTTTAAGAACTGAGTCAATGAAACTACAAATCAAAGTTTGTCGTTTTGTTGCACTGGAGTAAAGGAAGGCTTGTAGGTTTTTATTTTCAGAACCTGCAGAGACTGATTGAGTTTTCCTGTGGTGTTAGAATTATTTCAATAAGGAAGTCTCTAAAAGTTTTGTAAAGGAACAAATACAAAGTAAATTATAAAAGAAATGAAAATTTTTATATTTTTAGACTGTGCCACCAGTACTGTTACCTTTTCCATGAATCTTGAAACCCATTTCGATTTACTTAGCTGTACAAGCCAACAAACACTATATTTATGTAAGGTCTTAACCAAAGGCACTGTAACTGGGTGGATACAGATATATATTTTAGATTTGAATATTCAAATAAACATGTGCATATTCAAGTAAACATTTGCATACTCGATGTCAAATATTTGCATACTCGATGTCAAATATTTGCATACTCGTTGTCAAATATTTGCATATGCAAATATGTATTTGCATGCTCGAATGTTTAATATTCAAATACATTAACTGTCCCATTCCAAAAATACCAGTAGATGGAACATTGTAAAACTGGTTTCTCAGTTTTTAAGTATTGTCTGAACAAATTCAATTCAAATTCCTTTCTTTTGTAACTTTCTGGGTAACTGTAATGATGAAGGCTTAGAGATTAAACCGTTAAACGCACACCTAAATATTTGCCATGCAAATCGGCAACTTTCAGTTATTTAACATTTTTATTTAGAAATAACTTGGGAGGGTGGCTCAAAAAACACAAGTAACATTGCTCACAAATTTAAAATAAAAAAACGAGACTTCATGAGGCTGACGCTGAAAATAGGATGTGTTTCTTTAAGTAGCACTGTGCATTTTCCTTGGCTTTGAAAAGGGAGTCTGTTCAGGTAAGCAAATTGACCTCATCTGCTTTTCTGAGCGCAGATGAGGAGTTGAACTGGTCAGTCGTTGCCGTCTGGGTATGAACTTGTTAGCGTTCAAGGTCATTTTAGAATTGTAAGGCTTAAGGCCAGCTGGTGGTTCTGTTTTACTGTGGTTTTTAAGTAGTATTGTGTTTTTCTCTTCAGGACCAGTCTATGATGTTTGGAAGTGACAGGAGCAGATTCACAGAGGGGAAGAGAGCAGTTGAAGACAAGAACATTGGTCCTCTCATTAAAACCATCATGACTCGTTGCATCCAGTGTACAAGATGTATTCGGTGAGCTATCTGGAGGGTTCAGACCTCTGTAAAGTGTTTGTGAGCACATCATCAGTGTGGTGAAGCATTTGAGTGAAATTCACCGTTGAGTGAAAGAATACACTTTACTTATTTAGGAAAAATGCCAGGATGCAGGTCTAAAAAGTACACCTTTGGATGTCCTACACACTAGGCTGCAGTCTGACTAAAACTACCCTTTTTTTTTACCGACAAAAATACATGATGCAAAAGTTACTTAAGGTAATATTAAAGAACACACAAATTGTCAGTGCAGTGTCTTATCTGAAAATAATTTCTGAAAAAGAAAGCTACAGGCTTTCCCATGTCCCTCCCAAATCTTCCTGGACAGAAAAGGAGTAAAACTATAGGAAAGAGAGACAGAAGACACAGAAAAGAGCAACGTAAAATACGAACTTCACTTAAACAGTCTCTAGGAAACAAAGAAAAGGTGGAAAGCCAGTCCTATCAATCTGAAAGCTTTTGTATACATTTTAAAAATAAGAACAAGAGAATTTGTGTCGGAGAATGAATACTGTGTCATTTTAATAGATTTCTAGCCAATGTTTTAACACTTGAAGGTGCAAGAAGATGCTTTCAGTGCTAAAAGGGACATGCAGATACTTTTGTAATTATTGCAAGACACTTTAAACATGGCTGGAGAATAATAGAAAAATGTAATGTGAGCATCTGAGCAATTTGAAGCAAACACAGTATGGAGGGGCAAATGTTTTTTTTTTGGTTTTGTTTTTTCACATAGTTTTGCCAGTGAAATAGCAGGAGTGGACGACCTGGGCACCACAGGGAGAGGGAACGAGATGCAGGTGGGCACGTACGTGGAGAAGATGTTCATGTCCGAGTTGTCTGGGAACGTCATTGACATCTGCCCCGTGGGAGCGCTGACGTCGAAGCCCTACGCCTTCACTGCCCGCCCCTGGGAGACCAGGTGAGGCATCGCCCCAGCTGCAGTTAAGAGCCGTGGAAGCTTTCTTAGCCAAATCTGTGCCACATCATGAAGCTTATTCTGGGATGGTGCTTGCAAGGGCAAGAATGAAAGAAATAATAATAATACTAACATCACTTTATTAATCCTTTACAATTTGCATTAGGAATTATCTTTTCGCATACCCCAGCTTGCTCTCCATGAGACACACAGACACACAGATAGGGAGAGAGCCTGGGGTCAGAGCGCAGGGTCAGCCATTGTACGGCGCCCCTGGAGCAGTTGGGGTTAAGGGCCTTGCTCAGGGGCCCAACGGAGTAGGAAATGACTGAGGAAATGAATGAGAAATGACTGTCGCACATCATTGTGTCCACTTAAAGACCTTTAAGCTGGTGCAGTGATCGTATACTGGCATCTTCGATAAGTCCATCCATTTTCTAACCACTTCACACTGTCGCGGGGGCAGGGTGTGTGTGTGTCGGAGACCGTGCTGGCAAGCAGCGGGCACAGAGGTGGGGTACACCCTGGATGGGACGCCAGTCCATTGCACAACACTGACACGCACCAGAGCCAGTGTTCCTGGAAGTCAATTAACTTACCAGTGTTTCTTTGGACTGTGGGAGGAAACCAGAGCACCCAAAAGAAAACCCACAAGAACACAGGGAGAACATGCAAACTCCACACAGATGGCAACTCAGGAATTAAACCCAGGGTCCCAGTGCTGCGAGGCAGCAATGCTCACCATTGCGTGTCCCCCCACTTCATACATTTTTAATTAGTAGCCAGTGTGAAAGAGGGATTTGCACTACTACATCTCAAGACAAAGTTTTACCGATTGTTTTAGAAGAGGGTCAAATTCTGCAAGGAATCTGCGGCTTGTTTTGCTGTTAAACCTGTAGCAGGCACGTGAAGAGCTCGTTAATGGTGAGCTGTCCACATCGACAGGAAAACGGAGTCCATAGACGTGTCGGATGCAGTGGGCAGTAACATCGTCGTCAGCACACGGGGAGGAGAGGTGATGAGGGTCCTGCCGAGACTAAACGAAGATATTAACGAGGAGTGGATCTCCGATAAAACCCGGTAAGGCAGAGCTCTCGTACGCTCCATGTGCGTCTGATCAGCCGGATGTGATGTGCACGTCTCTTTAATAGATTTTAAAAGTGCGCAAGAAGTGAACCTTTCACAATGCCTAAATAACATGCAGGTAACATCTTAGCTGTGATAGTTTAGAAAGTGCACTGTTTTTCTCCAAGACGAAATGTAAATCGCGGCCTTTCAAGAATGCTTTTAGTTAAATCGGTCTTCCCTGGAATTTTAAATGTCACTCCGCTGCCTCCAGAAACACAATAAGTGAATTAGTGCGCACGTGTTAAATGCACTGATGGGAACTGATGCCTGAAATGTGGGTTCCTCTTGCATTGACCTCTGTGCTTCAGAAAGCTGCTGAAGTGAGGGTCCTATGTCTCCGTTCATGCTACAGATTTGCCTATGATGGCCTGAAGCGCCAGCGGCTGACCCAGCCCATGGTGAAGGATTCCTCCGGGCAGCTGGTCCCCACTTCCTGGGAGGACACCCTCGTCCGTGTTGCTGAAGCGGTACGGAACCCACCAGAACCCCTCAAGCCGCTCGGGCTTGGCGCTCCCACCTCAGCTGCCCAGACTAGGAAGGAAGTGGAACTGCACGTTCCATATTTCAAATTGCCTTCCCTTTCGGAAACAATTTAGTTATAGTTTTTGGCTTAAAACCTCACGCGCTAGGTAAACCAAATAAATCGGAGGACAACTGAGTGAAAAGTTTATTTTAAAAAAACTACTTCTGTGAACCTTTTTTCATTTGGTTTTTAAGAGCCGCAAACATTTTTTTTTCTTTTTTTTGCGCTTATTTTAAGCTTTCTGCTTCAGTCTGTCCTTTCAGAGGTATTTTAAATTCAAAGGGGCCATTTCGATGCCTTTATTTAATTGGTGTTCAGTGTTGGCTGCACACTGAGCAAGAAACACGCGTGTAAATTTGTATTTTCCCACTTTGCAGCACTAGAGCAGAGACAGTGGAGTTTGTGAGTTTAGACTAGAGGACTGACACTTTTTCTCCATTTGCCTGCAAGGGCCAAGTCAGGAACAGGGGGTTTTTGTTGGCTGGAAAATGCTTAATAAGGAGTTCATATCCTTCAGTGATTCTCCACCTGTCAATAGTTTCACACTTGTAAGGTCTCCAGAGCGTAGTCAGCCAGGTGAGCAGGCTTGATTTTTTCCAGGGATCTGCAGTTGCTCTCTGCTTCCGTGTAAATAATTTCTCAACTAGTCAACCAGCCAGCAGCCCGTGACGAAAAAATAATAATAATTTCACGCCCTTTAAATGTCCTAACCGCTGAAAATCTGTTTAAATGCAGTGGCTGTGGAACGTCTCCGTTTTCACTGCTGGATTAACTTAAAGCACCGCAGAGCAGCTCTGCGAGCTACACTGGTTTTAGGAAAGAGACCAAGGATTTAATGGGCATGCAGACTTTCTCATGCTTTCTTTCTCATGCTCATACTTTCTGGAACTCAGCGTTAATGTTGAGGCGTATTGCCAAAGGGGAGAGCTGTATCTCGAACGTTCACTTGGGATTTTCGTGCTCAGTCGGTGTTAGGACGGCTACTGACAGAATATGTTCATTTCCTGTGGGCTATAAAACAGACTCTGTGAGAGGATTTGGTTTCTGCCTTATAGCTGCAGGGAGCCCAGGGGAAGGATGTAGCAGCCATCGCAGGGGGGCTGGTAGATGCAGAGGCCCTGGTCGCCCTGAAGGATTTGCTGAACAGGCTGAACAGTGAGACTCTGTGCACAGAAGAGGTGTTCCCCATGGCTGGCGCCGGGTAAGACGCACTGCTTAACCGCGAGAAATCGGATGAACGGAAAAGTCCGGGAACGTCCCATTCTCCCACCCAGCTTTTCCCGCAGTTTGTGAAAGCAAACTTGCAGTATTTTTTTGTGTTTTTCCCCGTTCTGTTAGCCGTTGTGCGCCGCGCGCGTTGACATCTCGCCTGGCCGTTGTTTCTCCTGCTGGTTCGCTCTGGTGTTCGGGTTAAAAAAAACAAAAACAAACGAAAGACCTCCCCCCTTTTTATTTTTGTTACTGTTGGTTTGTTTCAGCACCGACCTGCGATCCACCTACCTGCTGAACACCCGTATCGCGGGGGTGGAGGAGGCCGACCTCTTGCTGCTGGTGGGCACCAATCCCCGCTTTGAGGCCCCACTCTTCAACGCCCGAGTGAGGAAGAGGTTGGTAGTGTTCAGAGTCGAGGGGGATGCCGTGCTCGGCAGAATGCGTCTGTTGATACGAGGCGACATAGCTCTGGGAGGCCTTCGCCGAGAGATTTTTAAAAATGTGATATCGTGGAGTGTTTTTTCTATCATTTGAGCGCTTTTCAGGTTGCCAGAGCATAGTCCGCAAGATGAGCAGGCTTGAGTTTTTTACTAATAAAGCAAAACGAGGGGCTTGAGAACCCAAATTTTGAAGCCGAGGCCGCCATTATTTTCTCCACGTGAAACGCACTTAATTCAACCCAGGTTGTGTCAGATTTCAGTTGAATTCAAGATTTAGATTTAATCGGTGGTCACGCCTAAACATTTTAACGTTTTAAGTGCGTGGTACACATTAATGTAACTTAACAGAATGTATTTCTTTTTGAACAAATTACTGTTGAGAAATGAGCACACTTGGGAATGTGTAATCTTGAAAGGGCACTTGTCTGGAGCACAGGTGGAGCCAGACCTTGCTGTGTCTGGCATCTGTGAACCTGCAGAGTTGTTTTTGAGGCCAGCTTCTGCTTTTCCTCTGGTGTGGGCACAGTGTGCAGGCAGAGTGAGAAAAAGAGGCGTCTAAGAGGACACAAGCGACCCCCATTGTAGCACAATAGATGCAACATTTGAGCTCCATTAAGAATGATAAGTCCAAGCTGGGAGGGGGGTATAAACTTATCCAGAGAGGTCGAGGCACAGACAAAATGCTTTCCGTCAGATTAAAAATATTCTGCTTTTGCCCCCGTTTCTTCTTTTACTGCAGAGAAGGTAATTTCTTAAACACTACTTGAAGCAATAGGGGAGAAAAAAAGTAGTTTAAGTTGAGCATTTCTACAGGGATACAGGTACGCTACAGGCTTTACAAAGTAGTTTATTTCACCCACAGTGGCGAACGTTGTGTAGGTATTGTTGTTGCAGTCTGTCAGAACAGTTTTGCTTCTCCACGTGGGATAGATAGCTGTATAGCATACTTGATGTGTTATATGGTAATGGTATCTGACAACAACAGTTCTCATTGTATTGGGGATTACCTGTTTTGTAGCGTTTGTTCTTGATGTGGGGGTACCTTTTATAAACCTAGGGTGAAGCAGTTTCTCTACCTGATCTGTTTCTGTGGCAATGCTGCTGACATAATGGGTGACTGTATTCATCACTACATGTAGCCAGCTTATCCATTCATAAGGTATGAAACAAGAATGGCAATGATAATTAGAGGTGATGTGGGCGAAAGACGTCTGTGGGCAGTTGTGCTTTAAGCTTACACTCTTTTTTGTCTTGCTAGCTGGCTTCATAATGAGCTCCAAGTTGCTGTTGTGGGCACCAGTGTGGACTTGAGGTACACCTATGATCACCTTGGGGATTCTACTCAAGTGCTGCAGGATATAGCCTCAGGAAAGCACCCTTTCAGCAAGGTAATCTATGTGCTGTAAAAGTATTTTATAGAGTAATGGTGTGTAGATAGTTGTTTAGGATAAACCTTGTTAGCAGTCTTTTAAACTGATCTTCTCAAATCTCAGAAGTTAAGAAAGGCTGAGCCTGGTGAGTACTGAGATGGAAGATCTCTGAGAAATAGCTGGTCACTGCTGGTGGTGTTGTAGGTGGTACTCTTGTATCTGGATTTGAATTTCCAGATCCTTGTTTCTTGATCTGGGACACTGCTGTCCTTCAGATGAAATGTTAAACTGAGATCTTGAGTGCTTGGTCATCGAAGATCCTATTTGAAAGGTGGTGGGGTGGTGAGCCCAGTGTCCTGGCTACATTATACTCTGGACTTGACTAAGCAAGCCTAACTCAACCTCCCCCTTAATGCAAGCAGTTTCCCTGCCTGATCTGTTCTATGGCAATACTGCTGACATAATGGCTGCCTACATCACCCAGGTGAGCGCAGTTAATTCTTAAATCTCAAATAAACGTGTGCGGTGGTTGTTGCTAATCAAAAGTATTGGTTTTTTTTGGTAATGAATGTCATATAAAGCTATTACGAATGTTGGAACCTTCCAATATAGCACTTGTGTTCTCTCCATACAAAATGTCCTTTGCATGCTAAAACTGGTTGCAGAAAGGAGACCCAAGATTTTCTTACACCTTTTTTGTAAAAATGCATCCTCAGCTGATACATCTTTAGCATAGGCACCATGCAGGACAGCTTCTTTATGAATGTAACTTGCATGATTTGCCAGTATCCCGGATGTTCACCCAGCTGTGCTGGATAGGAATTTTTGGCAGCTGTTGGATCTGCAACAAGTAGACTAACAGACAGCTGAGAAGTGTCGCTGAGCAGAAATGCTTTGCTGTAGTTCGTTTCCAGGACATATAAAATGGCTGCTGGTTGCACTGTAGGAATTGGAAGCCATTTTCATCTGGAACTATCGATGTATGATGTTGAGAATATTGTTTGTACAAGTTTAAAATCAATTTGTTTGGTATGATAAGTTTTTTTTTTTACATTATATCTTCCCGGGCCATGTCCCAGTCCCTAACTTTTTAAATACTTTATTCCAAAGACCAGGGTACAAAGCTAATGCGTTTTATGCTGTATGTTTCCACAGACCTTCGAAAACAGCGTTGGGGAATTTTCCTGGATGATTGTGGGAGGCGCATGTTCCGTAAATGAAGAGAAACTGATTAACTGCCTGGGGTGTCTCGTTTTGTAAAAACAAGAAAAGACCTCTGGCAGCGTCTGTTATGGGCGGATTTAATTAACCACCGGAGGGATGGGAGGGCATGGCAGTATGTGGGCTTGGAGGACAGAGCAGAGCCGGAGAGACCCAAAATGAGAAACCCCAGGCGGTAAATCGTTTTCCCTAAAGATCCAGAACATGCACGTGCCATGATCATCCAAGATTTATTCCCCAGTGCTGTTTTCCCAAGTTCAGCGGAAACATGCAGTATAAAATGAATGAGTTTGGTATGATAATTTTTGGGGGGGCATTATATTTTCCCAGACCACGTCCCAGTCAGGACTAACTTTTCTAGTGCCTTATTCCATAGAAGGGTGATCTGCAACTCAGATGTTGGTAGAAAGGCGGTGTATGGTACCTGTGTTTGCATGCTAACAGGCGGTTTGGAAGAAAGCTCAGAGCAAAGCCCGTGTCTGTGTAGGTTCTGAGCCAAGCAAAGAAACCCATGGTCGTGGTGGGCAGCGCCGCCCTGCAGAGGGGAGACGGGGCCGCCATCCACGCTGCCGTCTCCGCTATTGCTGAAAACGCCCGGGCCAGCAGCGGGGTCCAGGACAGCTGGAAGGTCCTGAACGTCCTCCACAGGTGGGTCGCTCATCCCTGCGGCTCTTGCTCTGTCGCACACGGAGCCCATATTGAGAACTGTGACTAGTTGTGTGCAGCTGAGGGGTAGGTGAGTTCGTATTCCGGAGGAGAATTGCGGGGATTACGGCGGTGGAGCTGGAGTGTTTTTTCAGCTTTTGTAGAGTTTTAATCGGCCAGGCACAACAAAGTAATTTGCTTTTTTTTTTCCAAGGACCTCTGTTGGATCCGCATTTTTTTACAAAATGTGATCAGAAGAAATGCGTTTTCCATGCACGTTCATTGAATATCTATGTTTATGGTTAAATATCGCACACATGGGAACATCGGTGTACAGTATTTGCAAAAAAACCTGTACTGGGAAAGCCCCCAAAAAAGCCTGATCCAGTTACGGATTTAGATGTTTTTACGGAAGAACGACTTTTCCTGAGGTTCCTGGGAAACCTGCCTCACGCAAATCTGTCTGTATTCTGGCGCCAGGGTTGCTAGTCAGGTGGCAGCCCTGGACCTTGGCTACAAGCCTGGAGTGGAGGTCATCAGGAAGAACCCTCCCAAAGTGCTGTTCTTGTTGGGCGCCGATGCCGGCTGCGTCACCAGGCAGGACTTGCCCCAAGACTGCTTCGTCATCTACCAGGGTAAGAGCAGCAGAGAAACGACAAGCCAATCGGCCATCTGGTAAACACGCCACTATCTCCCACCAGTCTGTTTTCATTGGAGCTCGTTTCTTTAGTGGGGTCGAGTGCTCTTGAAATTCGTGCTTGCGAGTCCAGTGAGGACCACGCCAGAGAGGAAAGAGCTTCCCCATTTCTCCATCTGTGTTACGGCAGTTAACGTCCTGCGGACAGAGCAGTGCTATATTTTTTTTCCATTTACCGTATAAAGCGACCGTTGCCGCACATTAGAAAGGCCTCTCATCCCCAGTTGTCATCTGTCCTGTTTCGCGCTGTACTGTCCTCCTTTAGGCCATCACGGGGATGTGGGTGCCCCAATGGCGGATGTCATCCTCCCGGGAGCTGCCTACACGGAGAAATGCGGCACCTATGTGAACACCGAAGGCCGAGCGCAGCAGACCAGAGCGGCAGTGACCCCACCCGGCGTGGCCAGGGAGGACTGGAAGATCATTCGGGCCATTTCAGAGGTACCCTGTCAACACCAAGTTGAAGACTTATCCAGCAATATCAGAGTGAACACAAAAAATCTGGGAAAGATCCATGCCTGTTTTTGTAGTTATGCGAGGATACCATTTTTTACGATACGAGTGACTAAATGGGTAGAGTACAGCAGTATAGTTTGTCCTCCAAGGGAAATAAGGCCCACTGAACTTTTCACCCAGCATTCCAGATCAGAACATCCTAAAAGCTGGAGTCTTCCGAGGAGGAATGTAGCACCGTCTTTAGTCTTTATCTTAGGATACACTTTGAAGAAAATCAGTACACCAGTATTTAAGCAGTATCTGTGTCTGGGCACGTGCAGTAAGTCTCTCTGTGGTGAAACAATCCATCTCGCCTGCAGAGCTAAAGTAAAGGTTGTTTAAAAAAAAATGCACTTTTACTTTTAAAGACTTGTCATTTACCAGACCACATATTTGAGTAAGCACAAAAATGTGGGAAAGATGCTTTTATCCTTGCATAAACTATAAAAACCCTTTTTATTATACAAGCGATTAAATGGGTAGAGTACAGTAGTATCGCGTGTGCTCCAGCAGAATTAAGGCCCATGGGATCTGGAATTCTATGTGAAAAGTTCAAAGATGCTAAGAGCTGGAGTCTTCTGGGGACGAATGTAACATTGTCTTAAGTCAGAGCTGGAGTACTGCAATTCACTGGGATGTTATCTTAGTTTAATAATTTAGGAAAATCAGTACACTAGTTTTTTAGCAGTAAATGCTTATTCCATATCTGAGTACATGCAGTAAGTCTCTTTATGGTGCAATGATCAATCTCACCTGCAGAGCTAAAGTAGTTTTTTTTTTAAATGCACTTTTACTTTTGTCATACTAAAATACAAATAGGTTATACCCTATTATATAATTAAAGATAAAATTCCTTCAGATCAGTCCCATAATAGTAGTATGAATGGATGCCTTTCACGTTAAAATTGCAACTTTTGCCAAATAGTTCAAACAGGGTCAAAATTAAGTACTTAATGCGCTTGATAAATGCTATGTTGATGGAGGGGTATGGCTATTTTTTTTTTACTGTATTATTAACAGCTGGAGCAAAGAAATGGATTTGAAGAGCTTGAAAGATGTGACGTTGCCCCAAGAAACTAGGGTCATATGTAGTTTTGAGGGGGCATTCTGAAAACAAGCAAATACAAGCTTTACACGTCTAAAGATTTAGAGATTGTCTTCATGACTGAGGTTATCACCATCAGTTGATTATTGAATGTTTTCTTTGTAACTTGTATGAACTAACCATCCGGCTCGTTTGAAAATGCAGTGTGTCTGTTTTGTACAATCAGTCCTGTAACAGTGTGGTTTTTAACATGTAATTGATTCCAGTTAAGTGCAACCAATTTACACATAAGAATTAAGCTGACTACAAGGTTTAAAGCAGTTCGCCCGGTTCTTTGTTTTGTAGTTCACTGGTGTGACTCTGCCATACGACACCCTGGATGAAGTACGCGTCAGGCTCTCCGAGGTGTCTCCCAACCTGGTGCGCTATGACGATATCGAGGGGGCCAACTACTTCAAGCAGGCTCACGAACTGTCCAAGGTCAGTACCGTTTCTTTTGCCTGAACCTTATAATAATAATAATAATAATAATAATTGCTTACACTTATATAGCGCTTTTCTGGCCATGATTGGTAAAGGCCAGGGGGAAATTTGGCTAGGACACCTTGTAACACCCCTCTTTTCGAGAGACACCCTGGGATTTTTAATGACCACAGAGAGTCAGGACCTCGGTTTTACGTCTCATCCGAAAGGACGGCGCCTGTTTTTTTACAGTATAGTGTCCCCGTCACTATACTGGGGCATTAAGACCCACATGGATCGCAGGGTGAGCGCCCCTTGCTGGCCCCACTAACACCTCTTCCAGCAGCAACCTTAGTTTTTCCCAGGAGGTCTCCCATCCAGGTATTGACCAGGCTCACACCTGCTGAGCTTCAGTGGGCTGCCAGTTGTGAGCTGAAGGTCGATATGGCTGCCAAAAGTTTAAAATACAACAAATATTCTGCCATTGAGCAACTACAGCCGCTCCGAGCATTTGTGTGGTTCACACAATTTTAACTGAATTAAGCCTTTGTGAAACCTTTGTGAAAATACTGCATAGTTGCCACATTGTCGCAAGCTGGCAACTGGTCTTGCCATGGGTGAGAGCAAGACTGGCATGAATTGCGTTCCTTCCTGCTCACTAGTCTCGGTAATGACTAATGTCAGTTGATGTACATTCGAATAAGTACAGCAGACATCTCACCGCAGAAATGTTCCAACATGATCTGCAGGCAGAGTTAACAAGTAAGTAGTGTTTGTCGGGAAAATCACCACGAAATTGAGAGCAATATTTTTTTGGGTTTAAAGAGATGTATTCACAGGCCTGCTTGGTTACACTGTAACAGGGCCGCCACACGTCATCAGAAGTTTGGTTGCCTTGTTCTGAATCGCATAGTATGATTCTGTGCATACCTCGAAATTTAGTCTATTTTGTTTTATAAATTGGAGGTTTTACATGTTACTGTGAACATTTTACTTTCATTATGGTTTGAAATGCACTCATCAATGCCGATTCCTTTTAACTCCAAAATATAAAAATAGCATTGTGCCCTTTAAGGCCATGCCCATGTGAAAATGAAATACTGATACATACCTTTATTTCATCGAGATAAGACTCTCATAACACTTCAAGATGTACTTTGAGAAGCATTTCCTTCCTCTGCACATTGCACTGGCTAACTGTGAGAAATAGAGTGGACATTCAGGTTCTCCTGTTCACATACAGTATAAATGGCCTCATCGCACGAGTATAGTTCAATTATATGATAACCGGGTTCCACACTATGTATAACATGTGCGACACAGTGTCTTTGGAAATTAATGGATCTATCACAGAGTCTGCCGCTGTCAACCCTACTGAATCTTAAACACAGATCTTTACACTGAAGCATGTAATTTATAATTAAGTTTTACATGCACAGATTTTGCTTTCTTCTTGTAAATACACTTGGTGCTGCGTTGTACTTTGCAGAGTTTCAGATTGGTTTTAAGAGGAAAGGCTGCAGACTGACTATTTTTGGCTTGGTCCATTTTGTTTTTTCACACGGAAAGACTCCTGAGGGCTAATCTTTTCCAGGAGGTTACTGGGTGGTAGGCAGAGTTGCAGTTACAGCGTGTTTTGTGCAGTGTTGTCTGCCCAGTCCACACTGTTCATATACTACCTAGTCAACTGCCACTTTTTATTTTTTTGCTTTTTCAGGCAGTCAATCAGACACTCCTCGCAGATCCTCTGGCTCCACCCATGCTAACAGTTAAGGACTTCTATATGACAGGTATGAGGCCCATAAATGTACATTATTCACATGCTGTGGTGGAAATGCACCACATTTCAGTTCTTTTGAATGATAAACATCACTGTTGTTTTTGTAAAACCCAGTTCTTTTTTTAATGAAATCTGGGAGGTTTGGTGTTGTTTTAAAAAATGGCACTAGGGAAACACTAACACTTTGATGAAGACATGTATTACTATAGAGTTGTTTTATTGTTAAAGTTAAAGTACGTTCCGCTGAAAAGCTGGGTATCATTTTCTGACATCAGAAATTAATGGGGGGGGGAAAAACAGCTGCATTTGGACACTTGTTTTGGAGGCCAGCGGTGTTTAAACAAGTAGAAAAAATATATAATGGGTATTTGTTGAAATAGTGTGATCAGCATGAATTAAACATCCCACTTTAAATGCTGCAATTATTTTTATTGATCAATACCAGAGATATTAGAAGTACAGGTTACAGGTTAAGTTTTAATTACCTTTAATGAGATTAAGGTAAAAATTCTGCTGGACTTTCATGGAACATTTTTTTTCTAATGGACGAGTGCAACACTGTATGTAAATGAACTAAGAATAATTTAATCTCATGTTTTAAGCGTGATAAATAGTTTGGATTTTAGTCCTGTAAAACACTGTAGTGTTTTGCCCCAAAATGCTCAAGGTACACTTTGAAATATCACAAAATTGTGTTATAAACATTGCTAACGTGTTGAAGCCATTCAGTAATACCAGTGTATCATTGTGCATGGTTAACATCAGAGAGCTCTCCAGGGACTGCAAGAAAAAGGTATTGATCTCTATACATTGTGTGATGGCTTTAAAACAATCCAAAAAAGGCAGAATCTCCCTATTTGCACTGTAGTGCTCAATACTAAGAATATTTAAGGCAACTGGAATGGTGCCAACCCAACCAGAAAGAGAACACTTGACACTCACAGTGGCTGTGAGTCGAATGCTTTATGTCGTGCTGGTAACTAGAATGGCATCAGTTTGCAATATCCACCTTACACTAGCAGCAAGATACAAAGGTGGAGTCTTTAAAAAAACATGTGTTGAAACTCTGAAATGTATATAATAATAAACTTTATTTTATACAGCGCCTTTAAAGTTGGCTTCTCAAAGCGCTTTACAGAATGACAACAACATTAAATAGAAAGAATACACAAGATAAAACACAATTACTATATACAGGGGAGACAGTGGATGGTGGTACTAAGAAAAGTAGAAGCAGAGGGGTAAAGAATGGAACCAGTTAAGTAAAGGCTCTTCTAAAGAAGAAGGTTTTGAGTCTGGATTTGAAGGAGTTTAGAGAAGGTGACTCTCTGATATCCTTGGGGGCATAACAGGAGAAGGCCCTGTCACCCATACAATGTAGACGGGCTTGGGGGACAGTAAGGAGACCAGAATTAGAAGAGCGAAGGTTGCGAGGTGGGGAGTAGGGCAATAATAGTTCAAACAGGTACTGAGGTGCCAAGCCATGCAGAGGCTTATAGGTGAGCGTGAGGATTTTAAAGTCCACACGGAATTTGACAGGAAGCCAGTGCAAGGACTCCAGGATAGGGGTAATGTGATCAGTTGCACTAGACCTGGTCAGGATTCTGGCTGCCGAATTTTGGACATCCTGCAGTTTGTTCAAAGCAGATTATATACCCCAGCGAGTAGAGCATTACAGTAGTCAATTTGAGAGAACACAAATGTGATGATCAGCTTTTCAGCCAGTTAGTAATAACATAGGGTGTAGTCTAGCGATATTTCTGAGGTGAAAAAAAGATGTTTTGACAATGGGTCGAATGTTAAGCCAGAATCGAATATCACCCCAAGGTTTTTCAATTTAGACCGAAGCTCAAGTACAGAACCATCTACAGATAGGGTTACAAGATTGGCTTTTACGAAGTTGATGGGGGGGGTGCCAATAAGCATGACTTCAGTCTTGTTAAGATGAAGGAAATTTTGAGTCATCCAAGTTTTTATGTCAGGGGACCAATTTAAATGTGTCAGGAAGTTGATTGTTTTAGGGAATATTTAGCATCTATGGGTCCCGGAGCCCTGTTTAAGATAAAAGGAATCCTGAATTTATCATGCACCAGTACATTTTAGCCAAACACTGGCTCCTTCTGTCAAGAAGCCGAAGCTTTTTTGGCCATTGGACAGCGCTCCACAGCATACATCCCCATCGGCAAAATAAATATTCTCACCCGGCCATCTCGATTCTCCTGGGATAAATGTGATTGATCGTTTCTGGATCAAACTCAATATATTATGGATGTGTGGAACCTAGCGCAATCTGGAGGAACAGTCAAAATCCCCCCCTCAGAAGTCCTGGAACCTCATAGAACACTACAAAGATGTAAAGCAAGGTGACCATCAGGAACTTAAACCATAGTAGGAGCCTGTTCTTTCCCCCAAAGGACTGTGGGAGAATCGAGCAGGCTGCCCAGCCATGTGGTTGAAGCCGATCCTTAGATCATTTAGCTGCTAAACAAGCTAGACAGGCCAATAGCTCGCCTCCCATTTTGAACCTTTTTTTATGTTCTCTACGGCATAAGGGTCATTGTGTAGTGCTGCTAAAAGTGACACTTTCACATTTTTTATTTGTTTAAGCAATACCAGTAGGGCAGTCTGTAAATCTTTGTTAAATGATGTTTTTCCCCCGTTCTTTCCCCCCTCAGATCCCATCAGCAGAGCCTCGCAGACCATGGCAAAGTGTGTCAAAGCTGTAACAGAGGGAGCACAGGCAGTTGAAGAGCCATCCATCTGCTAAAAGTCCAATGTTTAGAGACTTGCACTTGTCTCTTGCACCAATTTTAGGCCATGCAGAACTTGTAGCTCAAAACTGAAGTTTGATTTCACCAATGCATCGTGTGTGAACAACTGTGTGACATTTCTTTATAAGTTGTGGCAGTCTGCTGGTGGCACTGTAAATTAAAGTTGAAGTTACATATTCAAGATTGGGAGAATGCTTAGTCCTTCACGTTTAACTGGTGTAAAGAAATGTAATAAAGAATAAATACTTCAGCCTAAATACTTTTTTCTTTTTCTTCAATTGATAAGGTGGATTATCAGTATTTTGCTTAGTTATATTGCACATACACCCATAAACCTCTAGTTTGACAAAACACATAAAATGTAATGCTAATTTAAAAAACTGCTTGGAATTTTCAGTGACTTCAGTGCTTTTGTTTCTCTCTGATTTTGTAAATCTTTATCTTGATGAATTTAAAAGTGATGTTTTTCAATATGCTCTAATTATAGCATAAGTTAAATTCTGAGTTCCAAAATAAGATTAAGAATACCGCTCTCCTTTTATGTCAATAAAATCAGACTTAAAAACATGACTTATCTGCTCTGATCAAGGATTCTTTCAATTAAAAGCTTCAATTAAAGTTAATATAAAGTTTTATGTTTGACATCACAAACCACTGTGTTAAGCTACTATATTAATACCAGATGTTGCAGTATGTGTTTCTAGGCTTCTGCTTGTTTTATAATTGAATGTTTGAGGTTACAGAGCAGTAATGCAATCCAAAACAAATTCTGAAAATACATGATTTTAGTTTTCACCACATACAAAATAAATTCAATAAAGTTCCTACATTCACAAAAAGCAAGAGTGAAAATCATAGTTGTGCAAAGATGTGTAGGTCTAAAACACAGAAATAATTATCTTTTTCTGAAGAAACAAAAGCTTCAAATTTATTGATCATGTTGTGTTTTATCTTTTTTTGTGTGTGTTATCCATGGAATGTGCCACTAATTGTAGAATTAATTTTAGTTTTTTGAGTACCTCTTGGCTACTTCAAGGTTTCATTTAAGACGCGACATGAAATCCTTCAAATTGAAACTACACAGTGTACTATGATGTAACTCTCCATAGTGTCGTGGCTGGAAAAACAAGGGTAATTATATAGTATATATAATTAATTATTCTTTTTTATCAAAGTCCAGAAGTATGGTTTTATTTAAATTTGATTAGATTTTAATTTTGGAAATGACAACCATAGATTTCATTTAAGAAAGGTTAAAGTATTGTAAATACAACATTGTTTTACATACAAAACGTCTTGTGAAAGATTACAGGCAATATACAATTTGGGGGACTGAATTGTGTTGATAAACCTTTTTTCTACCTGGGTGTGATTAATTCTGAAAGTATATTAGCAAAGATTCTTAGCTGCTGATATCTATATTGTATACTGTAGTGTGTGCATTAAAAACCAAACAGTTCAATGTTCAATTTATAAGCCTTGTTCTGTATCGGTCAAAATAAATAAACTCTTACTGAAAAAATACTGGGGAATGAGAAGCAACAGTTACCCTAGTCTAATAGATGTATCAACTTTTTATCATTTAAATACATTGCTAGTGTAAATGAAACATTTTAAAAAATCCATTAGTAATACATTGATATCATTGTGTCCAGATGTCTGTTAAAGAATAATCATCAACATAATTATAAAAATGTCACTAATATACGTGTATATTTAATAAACAAATATCAGAGTAACACATCACAATTACATAAAATATGATGGGAGAGACTTCATTCCTACACTTGGCTACAACTATACCAATCCTGCAAACTATTCTAACATACTATAAAGGTTTCAGTGTCTGTAACCCCGAAAGCCTTTTAACGGTATATCTGACGACCAAACAGGAACTTAACAATATGACACAGCGGTTTTCAAATTCATAGAAATATCTTGTTTTCACTATAATAAAAACTTAAATTTCCAATATGGTAGCAGAGGTTGTTGTTGTGCAGCCGGTTGTTGTCATGTCCCCCAAGTGCCTGTAGTGGTGCTGTAAGGAGAGTCTGCAGATGATTAAACTAAAAACCCCAGCAGCTCTTTACTGCTATTTTTTGCTGTAGATAAACTACATTTATATTTATCAGGGATTCACACAAAATTATATACGGATACAAATCAGACAGTTCCGTAAAAAATACCGAAAAAAACAGTTCGTAAAGAGCCCAATAGACTGAAATCTACATTTGCAGACTCTCTATCCGGAGTGAATATCAGATACAGCAAGCAGCAACTGAAGGTAAGCGGATATGCTGTGAAGCATCGAGCTCGACTGGGAGAGGAACACCGGATAGTGCGTCAGACAAGGCCGTCGCCGCTGCAACTTGAGGTCGGGGGATTACAAGGTCTGGCAGGCCGGTATTAGCTGTTTATATTTAATCAGAAGTTCAGTTAACGTGAGAGCTTGTTTGATTTACGCTCGTTTTCGTATTTTTCGTGTCATTTATTTAGATTTCAAGGTGATTGCCATACCTTAAAGTGGTTTTAAGATGTGTTTTCTGTAATGTTTTCCTTTGAAGGCCAGGCGACGTGGGCCTAGCAGCGCCTCCCTTTGTTTGAAACGATATTTTAAGTGCATTTATATTCATATTTCAAAATGTAAGAATGTATTTAAATAAGTTGTAAACGTGTTATTTTGTAGAAATGGTTATTTTGGTGTTTTTTGTATTTTTTATATTACTCATTTATTTCAGTGTATTTATTTCCGTTTCCTGGGGGAGCTCTAGGGCTGCTTTGTGTATTATTCAGTTTCTTCCTTGGTGCTCAATTTTTAATTTTAATTTTAATATTTCCTTTTTGTTTGCAGTGTTCTGAAGGTTGTTTCATGTAGGGAAAAACAACTTATCCGCAACTGTACTTTCATTTTTTAAGTTTCATTTTCGGAACTGTAGCTAACTTTAAAATTCCTGCTCAGTTTGTGCGGGGCGAAATCGTTCTACAATGTCAATCGTACATTTTCTAAGTTAAATTTTGTTTTTACGTATGCATTTCACAAAGTAAAAACTGTAAGCCGCTGCTATACTAGGTTTTCTGTGATTTTTAGAAGCTAGCTAAATAACTCGAATTTGCAAAACCGGAGAAATTTGGATCAGGACCTGCAGCTTGCACCTTTGCAACGTATCTAGTTACTTGATCAACTTCGCTGTCCGCTGTTCGTATTCTGTCCTGGAAGTTTTTATACAAAACCTTGCACAATTACAATACAAATATACAAAGAGTTTTAAAACTGCATAGCTTTCTGCCAGAAGGAACGGTTTAAATAAAGCACGTAGATTTCATATATTACTATTAAGTGTATTAGTGGTGTGTATTCTTCCAGTGTTCCCATTATGTCAGTTGTGTGCCCACGTTGCGACTGGAGTGACAGTGTAGTTTCTCTGCATTTTAGTTTGTATGAATAGAGTCCAGATTACACCAGGTAAATCCGAGGGACGTTAAGATTAATGCATAGTTTGAAACGCAGGTGGAGATGACTGCTTCATGACACTACTCCTGAAGAACAGATTATTTTACAAAGATCATGGAAAGATAAATCGCTTTATCAGAAGCAAAACGAAATGAAAAAAAAATCTAATAAATCTGGAGAGATCGATCCCTCCAATCTACTCTTCCGCGGCACCTACAGTCTGCTTAGACGCAATTCGTTAAATATGAACACAACTGTTAACGGCATTTAATTGATATTTCTGTTTAGATTTTTACCAGTGTTAAGATCAAGGAAAGAACAGAGCAGTTTAGTTTCATTCTTTCATTTTCAACTCTGTTGAATTTGGTTTAACTATTGGAGAGTTCCCTTTTGGAATTTCATCAGTTCTATGAATTCGAGTGACCTGAGGTTTTTTTTTTGGTGAGAACAAGCCGTTCAGCCCATCGGCGTTTGTCCTTTTTCTGTACAGTACTGATCGTCTCACATCAAGCCTGGACTTGAAAGTGTCTGATGTCCAAACTGCTAATCCGTCCCATTTATACTGCTAGCGAAACGAAGATCTTCTCTGCAGTAACAGAGAAATTAAATGAACAAAGGTCTTTACTTGCGCTTAATGTTTGTTTTTTGTCTGTAGTTAAAGCAAAAGGAGAAATAACTGGGGGAATCTAAGCATTATAGTTTAAAAGCTTTCTGCTTTGATATTATGGGAGAATGTTAATAGGGTTACCTAGTCACTCATAAAAGAGCATGGATAGAAAGGGAAGGGGCTTCACTAAGTATTATCGACTTGCTTAATAGAGTTATTTTCTGTCTGAACGTAAACCGCAGATGGGGAGTTTTCCTGTCATTTTACAGCCAATATTTCCCTTTAAATATCCCCTTGTTAACTGACACAGACTTTGGGCCATCTGTCACATCATTAGTCATACTGCACCATTTAGTATCATCTTTGTACTTCATTTGGGAGTGTTTATGCTGGTTGTAAATACAGGTGGTTGTATTTTCAGAGTTTTCATCACGTTGCAAATCAGAGTTTACCTGAAAGCGGCTTTTCTGAGGATATGACAGGGTTGAGGCTATAACTGTACGTTTCATAACTTGTGTTTATAATGTCTCATCATTGTGCCTAGCAAAATAGCTCCAAATCATAATTTAATGGAGCAGTGGTTAGGGTTCTGGACTGTAACTGGCAAAGTTGTGGGTTTTAATCCTGGGTGAGAGACAGCTGTTGTATCCTCTAGTGCATTTTACCCAGATTGCTCATGCAAAATGCCCATCTCCATGAATAAGTGCATGCGATTAAGTCGATTTTGCTAATTTAGTATCTTGCTAAAGATATAAGTCAGCTATATTAATAATTAGTAATTATGAATAAAAACCATCCTCAGTTGTTTTCTGAAGAAGTTTAAAACCAGTCATTTATACCATCTTTCCTTTTCTTATCGTGTGAGATTTACCAAGCCTTCTTAGCACGTTATTTAGTAGATGTGTTTATTTTTGTATTTTTTATATTCATTCTTTCAGTGTATTTATTTCCATTTCCTGGGGGAGCTCCTCTGTGAGCATCTAGCAGTGTCCACATTAATGAGGTTATCCGCAATAAGCAGTTATCGTATTCATCAAAGATTTTCATGGGAGAGATGGAAAAATGTGCCGGATAACAGAGTACCTCAGCCTCATTTGCAGCCGGCCAACAGGAAGTCAAATAGAAACAATTGGAGGAGCAGGACACAATCTCTCAATGTTTTTGGCCCAGGTAAGCCTTATTTGGGTCAAAATGGCAAA